TCAATGAAAGGCCAAATTATTATAGGTGTAGGAGCTCACATTAATACACTGTCAGTGTTAATAAACTAAAAAAAGACAAGGCGATGTGCCTGCAAGACTTCACTCAGGTAAACAAAACATATTACCCGTGCGCAGCAGCTAACCTGCCTGCGAGCCTTCGCTCAGGTCACATTTTCCACCCTCTTGCCACCCCATGAATATTTTTCTAGATCCGCCCCTACTTAACGGTATACCGATACCGTCCAATCAGGTACCGGTATTGACTTAGTACCGGTTCTCGATACCCATCCCTAGTGTCCACTGTCCAATACCTTGCACAAGAGCACCACGGCAGGGCCCAGGAGGTGAACTGGGACCTCTCCAAGTACATGTAGCAGTCAACACTCCATATTTTAAGTCTCTTCGGGAACCGATGACCCTATGGCTCCCAGTCCAAGCCCCTATTGACTGAGCCACTGCCGGACACGTTGTGTACTGATGAGCCCTTTATATCTGTGTGTGTATATATAACCTGTTCTAAACATTGTCTCCACAGGCTGAAAGCAGCCGGCCCCGACCTGCCCCCCCCAGGGACCCCAGCAGCAGATGGCCCCTCGTGGACGACCCCACCACCAGAGTGCCTCAGCTGGACGACTGTGAGCGCATGGGGACTCTTTTCGGGATGCTCAACAAGGGTCTGCGGAGGATGGGCTTCAGCCAGATGTACTTTGGGGACAAGATAGTGGAGCCGGTAGTGATCGTGTTCTTCTGGCTGCTGCTCTGGTTCCTGGGGATCCAGACCCTGGGGCTGGTGGGAACTCTGTGCATCATCATCATCTACATCCAGAAGTGACGGGGGCGGAGCCTGCTGTTCGCTTGGGTTAATGCTTCCATCTGCAGGACTTTTGTTGTGCGAATGGATTTGAGGGGGGCGTTTAAGTGACGGTGACTAGCAGCTTTCTGCAATCGGTTTGAAGCTTGTTCAGTGTTTCAGAGGGTCCCTTCTTCAGGATTGATTTTCCCTCAGATACAGGAGTGGTGTTTTCCCGCTGCCTCTGCTATTATTCTGTTGAAATGGCATGGAGAGCTGCAGGAATGAGTCCTAAAACCAGGATATGAGTTAGCATTTGAACACTTCCTGTTCCCTTGTCTCAAAGTTTTTTTTAACATGTTTTTGGTTATACAGCTGAAATAAGATCTGTGGTTAACAAAAGATTTTCAATTTCCAGAAGTAACACATGTCAGTAAATACCCCACTGGTGCATGCCTGAAGCTTTTATGTGTCATAAAAACGGAGGTTGAATACTAGTTAGTAAATACGACTACTAAAAGTAATGTTGCCGAATTAGCCGCTTTTAGCTTAGCGGTGGTGACATAAAGTCACGTGACCATGATTGTCAAGGTTGTCTATTTATAGCATTAGCTAACGTTAGCTTTTAACTCTTGCAGTAATTGCAATTACGCTTCAGAAATCATAAAGTGGTGTAAATATGTGGAAATGATCCTGCTCGACACAATATGTAACATGTCATATAACAATGTGTTTACCATAGATCTTATTTTCAGCAATATTTGGAAATCCAATGGACAAGCCCCATTGATTTTTGTCGAGGTAGCCATTAAGATGCTAACTTCCGGGTCGGGCTACAAAAATACGTCTTCGCGGCACCACTCTATAGATGATCTGAATGTGAGAACAGGAAGACATTGTTGGAAATAGCTAGTTTTAGTTTGAATCAGAGACTAAAGAGTGAAGGACTGAAGTCGCAGCACTGAGGAAACACTGCACACATCTCTGTTTTACTTCAAAAAGATTGGAGATCTTCGCTGACATAAAGAATGTGAACGTGTTGGCTAATCGTATAACCCATCCGAAGGAAAGGTGTCTGAAAATAAATCTGACACCTTGTGAAACCTATACTGTAAAATAGGGATGGGAACGATTAATCGAATATTTGAAATTATTCAGGTATTCGAATATGAGTTATGAATATTTTTATTAAAAAAAAGGGGGTTTGGTGCCTAAGTTGATTACATATTATCAAATGGAATAATTCAATGTATACGACAGTGCCATAGCTAAATGTGTTATGTCTAAAGGTGTGTTTTGCTCCGGTCACCGGTCCCTCACAGCGGGCAGAGCTGCAGGTGCTGGTCTCTCTCTCTCGCTTCCGGTTATACTTCACTCGCGTTTATGTCCAATTCCATCAGAAAACCAAGTTATGTTTTAAGCATGAAAGCTGTAGGCCTATAGCTGTCAACTGTTCAAACTGTGATCACCAGTTCAATACATTTTTACAAATTCGACTTGGTTTCTATACTTATTTGAACATGTATTTATTTATTTTTCAAAATTAATTTATTAGTTTTTTGTGAAATATAGGATATATATACTTATCGGTTAACCGTTTTTTTGGGGGGCCAATATTCAAATATACTTTTGCTTTCAAATTCCCATCCCTACTGTAAAATGTTTACTTTGTGAAAGGGAAATACATATTGATTGCTGATTAATGAGAAAAGTATTGTTGTTCTAAAAGTGACACTTCAGGTTTCTATTCTGGGGAGCGGTTCTGGATAACTGTCTCCTTTGCTCCTTTGTATCTTGGTGCCTGCCAAATTAAATGCACTTTGGTATGATGGTGTATTGGGCCATTGTACGCTAAACAAATGATACGTAGCCAGGGAAGAAAACTAAAACCCATTCACAAGAACACCAAATATTATCTGAGATTCATAAAAAGGGTATTGATTAAGTTTTCAATGTTGACGTGACCTCAGCCCAGCTTGCTGTGTATTTTTCTAATTATACTTTACAACGGTAAAGGTTTCAGCAGTAAGGAAATAACATATCAATATAAGCATCCATGTTCCATACTGTCCCTCCTCATGAACATGTAGGGCTGTAACAAATGAAGTGTTAAATGAAGAGAAAATATTGTTTTGGGGAGGCTAAAGGCCATCAAATATGGATAAAAGAAGAATATTCTAGATGGATATAAACATTTTGTCCATTTGAGATATTATCTTCCTTTTTTTTATTTTTGAATACGTTTTCACTTTTTTTGTTCATTTTTGGACCTAGAGCTTTGGTTGTGTTTGAGTGACAGAGTTATTAGTTTGTCATGATTTATGTTGGATTGCTAACTTCCTTCCCTGGCTCTGAAATTTGTACGTGTTACTTACAATGCTGTAATATGCAGTGCTTCAGTAACTCTCTAAAAGATTAATTTATTTCAAAGGGAACTGACAGGAATGTGGCGTGTGTAGTGTCAAAATAAAGTGGGATAAACGAATATATTGTATTTGAAACCAAATATGTTTCAACAAAACTACACTGTACTGGATGCAAAAAGATGCATGCAGATCCACCTTCTGATACTTTATACATCATTTCACTGATGCTTTTATCCAAAGCTAACCTACACTTTATCCTGTAGACAAGCCTACAGGAGAGATTTGGTGCTAAGAATGTCGCCAAAGGACACGTTAACATGTGGTCTGCAGGGGCTGGGAATCAAACCACTGACCCTCTGATTGGTAAATGCTTATCTCCCCTGTGAGCCGCAGTCGCCCACACACTGACACAGTTTGTGCTGATAACTACACCGGAGTGTTAGGTTGACATTCACAAAATGAAATGATTCATAGAATTGCTCAATATAGCATATCAACATCAGACCTGTTATTGTTTTGGGCATTTTTGTGTAAAATCTATACATAGGGTGAGTGACACATAAACACATCTTTGTTACCAAGTCAGGTGCCTAAACAAGGCGGCTCTCGTTTCTTGATGGTATCCTATTTACAGCACGTACCGTCAGAGCTCGAGGCTGACAATATTCAGTTGCATTATATTTTACAACAGTTGGAATTATGACCTCCTTACAGAAAAATATGCAAACAGTAATAAAACGAATGTTGAAATTCATAGGATTTATAATTTCCTTCAGTTTTTGACCATGGTATCAAATTACATATCTGGAATCGGGGAATTTCACAAGTATCGATTCCTACATTTCTGGTATTGGGATTTACCGAGAAGTTACAAATGGTCTTAAGGTTCCTAACACAATGACGGAAAAATCTGAAAGCAGTCCGTCATTTTGACGGATTAGAACAAACTCAGAACAGCGCCAAAGTTTCCCCGCAGCAGGGCTCCGGTGTTATGCCGTTATGTCGTTTCCAGACCTAACTTTGCCGTACAAATCATTGAAATGTCTGGGAGTTTTTGGTTTACGCTGTGGCGTGCTCCCGCGAGGTGCAGTGGGCATGCATAACACCGTTTTTTGTACCAAATTATGCAATCCTGGCGTGAAATGCACCCCTTGTCACGAGAACGCGCATTTGAAAATGATACGTTTACACCTTAAAACGATGCTTAAAATGAAAAGTAAACGTCCAGGGTTTTTTTTTGTGGTAGTGGTCTTCCCAACGTCAGTTGTGTACACTCCGACGGGTAATAATGGATTTTGACAGAAATGTTATGATCCTGTCCGTCAAAATGACAGACAGCAAAAAAAGTCTAGCGCAACCTCTGATACCACACTACATCATATGTTATCATATTGTGGAT